CTTAAGCCCTGGTCACAACGAGCCCACGACGCATTTGTGCAACGACACGACAGAAAATTTGGGCAAATCGTGGTCATCGGGGCGTCGGCAAGACAGTCCTACGAAATTTTGAGCACGTGGCATCGACTTGCCGTCGTGAGGCAAAATTGAACATGCACCGTTTTTGTTGCACGATTTTTTGTGGTATCTATGTCTTCTGGTTGTCGTGAGTCTGTCCTACAACAGTCTTGCGACAGTCTGCGACTGTCGTGCGATAAATATCTTGTCGTGGGTACCAGAAGAAATTTTTTAGTCAAACAATCTTACGACTATCGCACGACTGTCCTACAAACTGTCTCACGCTGTCGCAGGACAGTCGTGAGACAGCTTGCAAGATGTCTCACGAATATTATATTTCGTAGAGGCTCGCACACATTGCAAGTCTGTCGTGCGTTAGTCTTGCGTTAGTCTTGCAACATATTTTCGTTTTTTGAGGGTATAATAGCTCGGCGAATGAACGCTGGATTTAAAACTGCCTGTCGCGCTGAAAGAGGATGGCTATTCCACTGAGCGACTACGCGTGGCCCTGCTAGGGCGCTGGAGAACTCCAGCACGAGCATAATATAGTGGCTGTGCGTTGATCCGGGCCCGGAGCAGCGCGCAGGAAACCGCGAAACCGACGTTGGTGGTTTCGGCCGTGGATCGAGCGTCGCTTGATGTTTGGGCAGTATAGAACTCTGATGCAAGAGTTGGAGCGGGTGACTTCGTGGGTCATCGCGGATGATCTGCATGTTTTCACGAGCTGTTGCCTGAGGTGTCGCCCCTCGCATCACCAAAGGGCCAACTGCTAGGCTTCACCACTTTCTCTTGTTGGTTTCTCTTGAGAGGCATCCGGATACTACTTTGTTAACTAACGTGACAAATGTCAAAAATTCGGCAACACTTCGATGTATCACCTTGAAAATCTCTGCAGCAAATGCAGGCCAACAGACCGGGCCTCGTTATATAGTCGGAAGACGGACGCGCGAGTGACCCACAGTCACCCACGCAGTTGAACCTCACCCGAGTGACCCCACGAATGACCCACGACTGTTGTGCGCCAGTCGCACGACTGTAGCACGTGCATCCCGACGAGTGAACCACGACCTGTTCATGTGAAAAACCGCCCCGACAATGCCCGACAACTCACGACTGACGCACGACTGACTTGCGACACACCCACGACATAACCACGCGATATCTTTTTTCTGTCGCGTCCCATCGCCAAACATCTTTGATGTGTCGTAGCCGTTGTGACCCACTCGAAATACATTTCGGCGCATGTTGCAAGACTTGCCACGACAAATATTTTATGGGTCCACCACGACAAAATTTTCGTAGCGATCCGTTGTGACCGGGGCTTTAGCAACGAAGCTTGCAGTCTATAATATCAAAAGTTTAATGGAAGTATTCTCCACAATTGTCATATTCTTATTTTTTTCCCATTAAGTTATTATGTGTCTATGCGTTATTTCTTTATACTATCTTTGTTAGCCGACAACCTCTTACAAAATGGCCACTGTCATAAAAAAGGACGCATTTGTGTCAAAAGCTATTTACATTATTATTAGCTCTTGATTTGGTGCATTTGTAGTGGGTTGATTGTACTACGCTAACAACAATTAATATGCCATGCTAATATATGATGCTGATATATGTACAGACAGAAAAGGCAAAGTTTGACGACTATTTTCCACTCCTTTTGCCGAAATCTTACGACAACATCACGATTCTACCCGAGTGGAAATGCAATGCTATCAATTGCCAAGTCCAGGTAAAGGCTGTTTACCCACAAACAGTGTTGATACAATTAATCGAAATAGATATATACCGAGATGAATATCTAAAAGGTATATATATCTATTTCTATGGGTTGATACAAGTGCCACTAGAGGCAGTAGTAACATGTATAGGTACCCTGAACATCATCGCTGTGAAGGACAGTAGCGAGAGTATAGATACCCTTAGCTATATCCATCAATGTGTTGCTGGTAGTGACCAGCAAGGGGCAGTAAGGTAGCAGTATAAGATACCATATATAATAGTCTATCATGATGTTACTGGTAATGACCAGTGCAGATGGTAGAAGAGCAGCAGTATAGTTACTCTGATCATCATCATGTTGTTGTGTTCTAGGTTCTGCGCAGTGTGAGTAACTGGTCCATTGGTATAAAGAAAACTGAGGATTCCATCCACCAGGCTTATCTGACAGCCATCAGAGAATCTAAATACTTCATCTACATAGAGGTAACTAACGCCTATAGCAGTGCCTGTCTGTCTATCCACCTATCAGTTTATACATTCTGGCCTTTAATTGTTTTATTTTTAAGTATGCACGGCGGCTCGCCCTGTTCATTTCTATCTTTATACATATTCTCATTAGATCTCTTTATTATCTCTGGCAATCTCTCTCTCTCTCTCTCTCTCTCTCTCTCTCTCTCTCTCTCTCTCTCTCCTCTCTCTCTCTCTTCTCTCTCATCTC